CCGAAAGACTTCTTAAATTCTTTACGTGATCACCTTTTTCACCAAGACCCTATCTCCCTTGCCAGTTAGACAGCCCGTTGCCATTATCATGCCGCTGAATGTTGCCTAGGTTAACAGTGTATTTATTAAATAAGGTATACAAATTATTATTATTATTTTTATTATTGGTATTATTTTTAAGGGGTTTAGTTTTTTTTTAATATATATCCCATTTTTCCCCAAGAGACTTTAGCTATTTATCTATTTATTTATGTTATTTAAGTTATAAGTATATTATTTATGTAAAGCCTTATATTTTTTTATATTGTATCAATATATACCTTTAATTGTTCTCATTGTTTTCTGTTTAACCAGTTGGAGAGCCCCTCGACAGAAACCATGTTTCTTTTGGGTAATCCAGCGGGAGCTTGTTAAATACTGTTCACTTGTCCTTTGTATGTCTTGTGTATCCTATTCTGTAATTTTTGTAAACTGTATGTTATTGTATTTCTGTGAAATGTTTATCCCGAAAAATAAAATAAATGAAATGAAATACAATCAGATTACAATGCTGTTCGGTTTTTCTACTTATTTGGCGGGTAGGCTTATTTGCATTAATTCATCGCTCTTGGAAATTAGAAAATGTGCTCTGAACTTTCAAAATCATATGTCAGACGTGACAGCGACACGAAAACAGTTGGACCCCTAATTTATAGAATGGCCCATTTGTTTCATTCTGGTACTTTGTAATCCAGAAACCAAGCTTATGCAAACCACCACACACAGTTTCTACATGGGAGGGGCGGATCCAGGAATTTTTCTGGGAGGGTCAGGCCGGAGATTTATTTTTTAAACGCAGACAACCGGAAACGATCATGAAGCATTACCCGGCGTACATTGTTGACAATTGTATTGATGCATTTAGTCTCAGAGCAGGGGGATTCCGACCCCCAACCCCTGGCTCTACGCCTAGTAAGTTACAAAGTTACAACTCACAACACCTAATCAGTTTTTCTAATGATGAGTTTTTGACCCCCAAATTTGGACTCTGTTCCACAAATCACCATAAATCAGTTATTCTACTAAAGCTGCCAGGAGCGCTGACACCAATATGTTCTTATCCATCAATCACGTTTACATCAGGTAGTTTGGGTAGCCTATATTTTAATTGTTAACTTTAATTTTACATTCTAAGTGGACCGGGTCGATAAAATCGTGCGTATAACTTCGTATTGTACCTCTAGATGGAATGTTGTCCAATAGAAAAGTTCACAATTCTGTCGGGATTTCAAGTTATTGTTTATGTTCTTTGAAACCGGGATTTTATAATGACCAAGTTCGTCATAACATTGTGCGGTCCTCTGTCATAAAAAAAATTTAAATTATTATGAAACATTTAGTAGTAAACGAATAATATTAAAATGAGCTCATTTTTACACTTTCGTATACTTTATTTCACAATACATGTAATTAAATTTTACGGACAAAATTAGAAGCAGTGTTGTGGAATTTTCTGCACCTATTGTAAACATTACCGTCATTTATAATTATGTTGTGTTCCCTAAATATCAGGCTGATGGAAGCGTGACTATCATTCACCTAGAGACTAATACTCGGGATCAACAATTTATCAAGTTAACAGGATACAAGGAATTAGGTGCCAACCACACCGTAGCTGTTTATTGCTCTCAATCTCTATTCCCCCACTGCTTCATTTGTTAAAAGTTGTTTTGGAGGGACTTGCATCATAACCTACATGTTACCTCTGTGTAGAACAGTGTATTGTACTAGGACCGTTGCTTTTCATATTGTGCCTGAATAACCTCCCATTGTAGGGAATACATTCTGCAAATATGAATCATCTGGCAGATGAGATTTAATGTTACTAAATGCTACTTATTGCTCATCAACCATAAGAAAACATCCATCAAGTCAACCCACAATGAATGGCATAATATACCTCTTGAGGGGGTCAACAGTCATGCTTATCTTGGGATAGAAATACATGTAAATCACACATTATTAAGCTGGACTGATCACATCAATAATATTACTTCTAGGGCAAAATAAAATAACTCGGATTACTGCATAGAAATCTTTACAGCTGCTCTGTAAAGTTGAAAGAAACTGCTTATAAATCCTTGGTTAGACCTAAAAAAAAATGCGCCAACATCTGGAACCCATATCACGAATCAATAAAGCAAACTGGAAGCAGTATACACTGCGGCAAGTAGCTGTAGATTTGCGGGCAAAGATTTTCGACAGATAAGTAGTGTCTCTTCCATTATGACGAATTAAGTTGGGATAGAAACCATTGGAAGAGACGCTGCGTAGACCCATTTATAGACTCACTCTAAGTCTATGAACCATCAAGTAGCGATTGACAAAGATCATTGTCTAGAAACTTTAAAGGGGAAGGGGTAAAAACATGAAAATCGTCGTCAATTGCCTTTGCTCACCCGCGAACACAGAAAAATCGCATCAGATTGGTTTTGATACCAAGAACTCTTATGGAGTTGAATCATTTGCCTGGAAACACACGTATGTCTGAGAGAGACGCAACTTTTCATATTATCACTGCATTGTAATCAGGAGCCATTCATTATAGCGTCCACTAGCCACCATGAGCATGCAACTTATATATATCGTGATAGAGATTGTCATAACACTCAAGCAGAAACAGAATCTTTCTTGTGTGAGAGAGCTTTTCTCGGTGCACCATGCACACTCGGAATTTTGAATCCGCCTCTATGATTGCATGAAAGAGGGATGACTTGTGGCACCACAACACTCGATTTACAAGCTACACGAAGGAAAATGAAATAGGCAAACATATTGGCCTTTCTTTTACCTTTCCTTCAAAAGAAAAAAACAGGCTCACTTTTGGGGGCATGGCCCCTTTCCTAGGATCCGCTCTTGGTACTACGCTGCACGATGGAGAACTGGGTCAATAAATATGGTGAAATTACATGGTACATTGCAAAGACGCTATTACTTTGGTAAGTTGATTGATCTAAGTTTTTGCTGGCCTGCGCCCGTAAACACAATGTAGACCATGCAAGGATGGTTTGACACTGTCGTTTTGTTTGCAGCTGCTCAACTGGGAGGGAGGCATATACCCGCATAAACAGTCGTCGCCCCCACTAGGAATAAAAAAAATAAAAAAACAGCAGTACTAGTAAATAGGCTCATGTTTTTAGAACAATCTAGGACTTGCACCTCCCACTGTAACATCCAGACCCCCCTCCCAAAGCAGTGAGATGCCTGTCTGGACATCGCTGTTTTTCGACCATGCATCAACTGTAAAAAGAGTAAGGCTAAATGCACAGACCTTGTTTTCCTCAGATTTCCGAGGATGACTATATAGAATTAATTGAACTTATCCATATAACTTGCATGTGTGGTTCAAGCCAAGTCCAGTCATCGTCTGGTAGTAGTGCTTCCGGTTGCCTGTGGCCTACTTTATCGAAAAGCATGTTGCCCCAGTTTCTTCACATTGTCTGAATATTGCCTTGTTGGTACTTTCAGGTTATAATTTTGACGATCCTACGGCTTTATGTCTTTATAAATAAAATATAATATGTACTTAATTGCAATTGCTTGAAGCCCATCATGCGACCGAAATGTCACTTTATTCATACACATGCACCTCAACGTACCATTTGATGAGAGGATTCAGGGGGGAGTAAATTACTTTGATGAATATCTTCGTTTTGAAGGAAATTTTTACTAAGATGTGATAAACTGCTGGAATTGCCTGAAAAAATGTGACAGCTGACAGGAGAACCTGGCGTAACACCTGGCGGATGCTGGTGCCAAAAGAGGCAATGGCCTCAAAAAAGGAGAATATTTGTTGAATAAACAGAAGTTGATGTTTAAATTGGGGAACTTTTTCCTTGCCCCTCTTTCTGTAAGAGCGCGTAAAAGCCCCAGAATCCAGCCCCACCCCCATAAGGGCACATTTCTACATTTTTATCCCCAACAAACAATTTGGCCCTAGAAACCCGGCTGGCCCGGTTTTTGATCTGCCCATGATGGACATAACTTTGGAAAGATTCTGACTGAGCTTTTCAATCACGGACATATTTTTTATACATGTGAAATGATGAGTTCTTCTGTGAGACAATTTGGGCCCAAAATTGACCTCTGAGCAACTGCTTTTTAACCAATGCGCGTGTGCATTACGGTCACATTGAGAGCCCTATTCCAACTTTTAAAATAAATGACCAAGTTTCGGAGCAAATTTTGTTTACTAAACAAACATTTGACAAAAACTCGGTCTCTGCTTCTTTGTTTTCACAGAGTGACAATAAGTCATCTGAGAGACCGCATCGGGGGTGGATCCAAGATGTTTTGCTGGTGGGGGTTGAAATTTGTTTCGCGCGGGCGATTACATGTCGGCTTATTGTCGCCGTTGTTGACGCCATGCACTATCGCTTTGTCGTTAATCGAACAAGCAAATAAGAAGACCTCTGTAAAAGGGCTTATGCTTTTAAGAACTTGCAACCTTTAGGCCCAGGCCTCTCAAAAGGGCAATGAGTGTGCTTGTAGGGTGGGGGTGATACCCAACCTCCCCTTAGATCTGCTCATGCGCAGACATTGTTCAAAAATTCAAAATTTTCCTGTATATTTATTTTTCTAACCGCCAAACAAAATACATGTGATAAGCTG